GAGTTTATGGTGCACTCTCCAAAATCATCCTTACAAAAAGTGTTGTCCACTCATTCCTGTTCAACTTCGTCACTGACGAAATAATGAGGCGGAAGCTGTTATTCAAAACCACGTTGCTGGTGAGAACCTTTTCGGTCTAGAGTATTCAGGCGACGTCATCTTCATTTTTGAAGTCGAAGTCGAAGCACAAGCTCCGTTGAATAAACTAACTACCATCATACCATCTTTCAGCATATCCCTTGCAACTACAAACTCATGTTTTAGAACGTAAAGTGTACGGATAAAGTCCTCACAGTTCAAGGAGAATCACTAGAGGTTATCGGGAATTTACATTGGTAGTTTTATTAGCTCTGACAGAAATGTGTGATGAAGTCAGTGCAAGAATCTCAAAGGCTCGGATAGGCTTAGTCCTACAGCCATACAACGGAATAGCCCACACTTTAGCTTGATACACACATCCTTTGAGACGCCATAGGTGTCTCAAGTTAGCAAACATGATCCGGGCTTTACAGACTCGTACATTTGTCCCATCTGTCGCATCACCATCATTCAGCTGTAGCACCCTTTCGGTGTCTAGCTGCCATGCCACACGAAGGAAGCACGAGGGCTGGGATACTGCCAGGCTGCTCAAGCCTAGACAGGGGAAGTCGAGAGTCAGCACTAATACAACTTCCAAGATACGTAAAACACTCCACAACTTCCAGTGCCTTTCCCTGAACTATAACTGGCGTGTTCCATGATTGCATTTCCACGAGCGTGGCCTTACTTTCTGGGTGTAAAGTGCATAGCAAAGGACAGGATGACTTCCGTCCTTCCTCTTCGTACACGAGAGCGATATCTTCTGCACATTCCAGATTAACAAGGATTTCGTCAGCAACTTTTTGAACACCGGGATTTCGAAGATCCTCCAGCGTTTCTTCCATTATCCTATCGATCACCCACTCTTTTCTCTTATTTCAAATCTGGGGCTGTAAATTGAATTAGATAAACTTCGTTGTACAGCATTGAAGCAGGAGTGTCAACACTGATGTTGATGTATCTGATGATGACTGGTAGTGGTAATAAATTCTCATATCAGAGAGACCACTCACGTGATTAGAAAACCCACCCAGCATACATCTAAAACCAGTCTCATCCGGTTCATTTAAGACTACGAACGTTAATGGCTACCAGATAATCTGAGCGACGGAGTTTGAAGAATGTTTTGGAACTATATTGCCCTGGCAGCCGAGTTAGTCTTGGAAATTACAACCACCCGGATGGTGACAGCACGAGACAGCATGCGATCACAACTTCGCTGTTCATGGTATACTGATATGCTGTCGGTACTCCTAGGTATAGACAGTAGGACGATTAGGGTACTCAACCAAAGCCTTTGGCTAAAAAGCCAGTAGCAAGTTAGCGATGGCTGGCAGAGGATCGACAGAACAGTCCGCGTTTTTTGAGAAGCAATTCGCCGCACGTGTTCCAGCCATCAACTTGAATGACCGGGAGAATGTTTTAGTCAACCCTTTACCCACTGACCAACCTGGTGTGGTTGTCATGTGTGCAGTCACCAGTATAGCTCATTGAGTTATGAGGGTGTACAAACCGTTACACAACTGTGAAATGCAGTCTCTTCATGAGGAGAAATGTATGCTGAAGCCATCCGTATCCAGTGGCTTGGTTGGCTAGCTCACCAAACTACTTCATATGACTCAGCGTGTCCGGATGGACTAGTTCAGTTAGAACGGCATTGCCAATTCTGCGAGGACCCTGTTGTTCGGACCCAGTTTCTCCCCTACGTTATTATACAACAATTATGAAGAATATATAATTGTACAGACGTTCTCTTCTCAGAAGTACTCCAAATGAGTAACAAGAAGCCCATACGATTAATAGGTGCAATTTCTGCTTGGTTTTACAGCTATGAGTTCAGTTGCAGCGATATCGTTGCTTCATCCGTTGTTTTTAGGGATACGGAGACAAGCGATCCTTGTCATCATCGCTGACAACAACATTAGCGAAGAACATCGGTGCGTTACTGCCGTACACATGTTGTTTTGTTTGAATAAAATGTAATGTACTGTACTGTAATGTAATGTATGTAAGGAAGGAAAATTAACAGAGTGGATACGGAGACAAGCGATCCTTGTCATCATCGCTGACAACAACATTAGCGAAGAACATCGGTGCGTTACTGCCGTACACATGTTGTTTTGTTTGAATAAAATGTAATGTACTGTACTGTAATGTAATGTATGTAAGGAAGGAAAATTTAACAGAGTGGGACATAGGGCCAATTTGCCGCACACATCCGAGTTGCCTACACCTCCGACAATCGGTCGAACATCCTGGATAGATACCGATATCATGAACGTCACTGACATCCGTCATTTGTCAGGTCTTTCAGTGTCTCCAACCAAGTTTTGTGGGCCTTATGGATGACTGGAAGCATCCTAACTTTTTGTGATATCACTCTTTTCTGCCATATGGTAGTTCCGCCTCTAGGCTTTCGGCAGGTGGATGAACGGTCCATAACTCCTTCGTTTTCGTACCTCTGGGCAGTTTCAGTACGGTGCAACCATTTAGCGTTATTTGTCTTGAATTTCGAGCATTAAGTATTCAAGCTGTTTCACCAGTAGATATCATAGGACCGCTTCATCCTTTTGAAATGTAAAAGGATGATCCATGTTCCAAAATCTAAACGATAAGGCACACAAACAGTTGCGAATCATAACTACGTTTTGATAGAATTTTTGTTGGGTCAGCGACTAATATGACAGTACGCCACAGCCAATGGCAGTCGTGATAACATACAACCGACATGATCAACCGGCTGAATTGTCCGCTGCTCGGCGTCTCCTCGTAGAGCGGGTCGCTTTTCTTGTCTTCACGGAGTTTTCGTGATTTCCATAACCCGGGAACCCATCGCCATTGTCTACCACAAGTATGTATATGTAGTGGAGTACAGTTTTAGGTCATTTACAGGACACCCACTGTCGGAAGTCGTCGTAGCTGCTGTTGGATTGCTCGGAGAGAATAACCATACGACTGACCAGAATGAAAGAACTGTGTTCATAGGCGTGGAATATGACATAATAAGCAAAGTCAACAACTGACAAAATTGATGTGGGCATGGCGGATGTCACATTGGACGAATACAAGCGCACAGGTAGAGAAGGGTACATCCACGCACAAGCGTGTCATAAAATACCCTTCAGAAGCGGAATTTTCTTCAACTGCCAGATAGTGCATTTTTAACACGTACTACTTAGTTATTTAACGTAACATGCAAAGGAATGCTGAAACTTCATGTTCTCAGTCCCGCTTTTGAGATATTTCGGCCTGCATATGGTCCACGCCGACACCCGCTCCGCCCATTCTATCACATTTGAACAAGAGTCAAATAATTTTTTTCAGTTGTGGTAATGCTACTGAGGCTGATGTTGCTCTTTATGGGAAAGCCTGAACGGCTAGAGCTACCTTAAGCTCCTGTTAACTGCAAATTTTAACTGCTAGACTTGTTCCTAGTTTTCTATTTATTTGATTTTCAGCTCATAAGTTACCTGACATCCGTAAAACATGGATGAGGATTTGGACTATGCCAACATATACAAGACGCTCAAAATGGGCGTGAAGAAGTACTGTCTTTCCTTATACACACCAAACAAAATGCATTTACAGAAGCTTTTTCAAAAAGTCTGTCCATGGTGATACAAGTGCTGATTTCGGTAGGAGTTTCCTCACCTTCTATATACTCTGCTGAGCTTGTGTATCAAAAAGCCTGGCGAGTCAAGAATGTCCTGAGTTGGCCGCCGTGTTCATATTAGGGAAAGCAAAGTGAGTTTTCCAAAAAACGTTCTGTCGAGGCTATGTCCATATCCTCGGTTTCTGATTGTTAACCGATTTCTGATGTTAGTTCAGGTGCGTTCTGACACCCCGTAGCATAGTTTTGATAGATGGAGTAGTGACATGAGCCTCTGCGAATCAGCCTGTATAAGTTGCACATCAGGATCACAGCTGTGAACTCGATGCTACGTCTCCCGCATCTATGGATACAGATTTTGTATTTCTTAAATGCTTACCTGTGCCCTTTACTCATTTTGAACAGGTTCATCCTTACAGAGTATCTGTCCAACGCATGTGAAGTGTGTAGGCCACTCGGAGCACAGCCTTGTTTTGTTTTTGTATTGCACAAGATGTACTGAACCTAGTTTAATATAACTTGTTTTAAAAATTGTTCGTAAGCGCTATGTTAACAACTGCTGATGGATGTACGACCATGATTGTCAGAGTTTCAAAATATTCTGAAAAAAATAGCCGCGAAAACGATGAACCGTCTCACAGATCTCTCCAAAGGAACATCTCCCGGAAAAATGGTAGAGGCGTTTGTATATTGGCGTTGAAAAGTATAAAGCGAGGGGAGTAATGATAAAAGTTGAACTGCACTGAGCAGGTAAAACGAAGTAGATAACGTGGGTTAAAAGCAATACAACTCCCTTCTTGGTACATGGGAACATCGAACCATACTGAAGTGCTTCCTCAATGTATATGCAATTCTAAAATGGGTGACTAATATTGCACCCTTTGTGACCTGGGCGGCCGAAATGTTGATGCAGGTATTTTGAAAAGACTTTGGGTTTGCGGCGAAATATATTCGCTTTTTCTAAGTTGAATAGGTCAGTTATGTTACACTCTTGAATATCCATGACAGTCATATTAGTGCTTGTTGGTGAACCCGTAAGATGATCAACAGTCACCCTCATCTAAGTCATCACGAACCTTAGTAATGACTGTGTCGTCAATGAGTTTTTTCTCTTCACTGCGGCTAATCCCCAGTTAGGGGTGAAGCAGCTACGTATGGATTGATTCAAAACAATTGTTCCTTCCTCCTTATTGAGCGTCCTTCCTCGCCAACAACCTCCGTTCAGTACTGAGTATACCTGCCTTTCCTTACCGCATCTTGCATTCTCACCGTTGAGATGTTTTGTTTATTTGTCTCCTCGGTGTATCCACAGATGCGAATCTGCTTCCAAAAATACCCTAGCAGAGGCATCTACGCTGTTCACAGCGGCCAAGTATTTTCTACAGGCCGAGGACAAACTTGACTGTCTAAACGCGATCACACATGGTGACAATCTGGACAGCGCCACGTCATGTCTTTTGAAAGCAGCCAAAGTTAGTTATCGGCTCCATTGTTTTCATCACACTATTCTACCGTTTAGCTGTACGAATCAAGCGAACTGTTCACATTGGCTGCAAATGTTTACATTTTCCTGTGTGATAATCTGATTGTAAGTCCATCCACTCTATCACCACTCTTATATTGCATAGCGTCGGAAAAAATGGAGCGAAGCCATTCCGCATTTGAAAAGAACTCTGGAAATACTGGCGCGTGATTTGTTGTGCAGCTTGCAGGTTCTGAGCAAGCTAGTATCTTGTCAACTTGGTCTGGGTGATTGGGTTGGGGCATTGAATACCTGTCTGCGCATTCAAACCCTGATTTCCGAAGCCAGGGGTGAGTGAACCGATCCATGTGTATATATATGTATAACTCCTTCCCACACAATAAATCCAGGTACATGCAATCCTGAGCTTCGTCTGCACTATTGGACCACAGCTGAAGTTTTGCGTGTTTGTCTGGTACTACTCACTGCGGTAAGTTGCTGTGCTTCGCTCCCCAAAATCTGTCCTGTTCATAGCCTCCTCATAAACTATCCTCGGAATCGGCGGGGCAAGGTTACTCTTTGGACAACTACTCGGTCGATGCACTCAATGGTGCGCCTGAGATGAATGAGGCTCTGTTTCTGCATTTGCAGTCTCTCATAGTAAGTTAACTGAACTTTTCCTTGATTCGATGTTTCCCTTCTCTGTCTTACATTTTGGCTAGTTCGTTGGTGGATTAGTAGGATTTGCGGTTGTTATTCACATGGAGTATCGTGTTTTTTTTACACGAATTTCTTTTAAATGCCGTACAGCTTTCTAGCTTCTAGCTTTAATCTGTGGATAAAAAGTCCACTCACCGCCTGTAATTAGTGATTGTCTTCCCATGCCTCATACTTTTCGCAGTAATTCCGAAAGACCTACTCCGCAACCCACCCATCCACCGGTGATTTGAGTTGTTAAACCAGATCGACAGAGTTCCTCATGCCGCCGATGAATAATGACTGCCTGTGCTGAACCGGTGAACAGTAGTCTGTTTGCACGGTTGTAGCGCAGGTACTCCACTTCCTCCCATTACCTTCAATAGGACCTGGACAAGTTCAAGCTCCATCCAGTTCGCCTGGAATCAAGCGGGCCTATCCCTGTTTCTCTGAGCAAATGAAAGGAGTACCCGTAGAATCGTTCA